GTCCGTGGGATTTGAACTCTAGACCTGCCACTTGGAGAGGGTGACGACTAGACCACTACACTAAGTCGCCACACCTCCGGCTGGGTCAGCTTTTGTAAATCTTCGATACAAAATTTTATAAATTATTTACTATAAATACTTTCGGGTGGTTTTTTAAAAAATTTTTATACATTTTAAATTTTTTAAACAAAGAAAACTTATAAAATTTTTGCGATTTAAAAATTAAAAGTCGGGCAGGCGAGTCACTTTTAGAATTTTATATTATGAGAAACAATTATTTAATTTTGTATAGCTTTATATATACTACTTATTAGAAATGTACTATATTTGGCTCTTTTAGCCAGTTATTTCTAGTGATGAAACTTTAAATCCTCTTTTTAAAATCATTAACTATCGAATGTACACATAGTATTGAAGACTGGTTAGCAAAGATAAAATCCGCAAATCAATTCCTAATCGAGTTTGGCATCAAAAAAAATTTATTTCACTCGATAATATAGTTCTAGTTACTTAGATAACTTTTTTTTTAAGCTTATTTTTGAGTAAAACATGTTTGAGCGACTAGCTATATCGATATGATTATTTGGTGTCATATAATAACTACAGAGTGAAAATCATATTGTGTACGTATAAGTATTTCAACTGTTTTTTTAATTAATTAGTATAGATAGATATTAAAAACCAGTTAATTAAATATTATATATATAATAATAATAATAAAATTATATTAGCTATTACTAGCCATTTAGCCAATATTTTGATCGGCTGGCTTAGCCAGCCGATCAAAACCATTCGGCTTACAACACTAGGCGCGAATATAAGTATTATAGACTATAATACTTTGTGTAACAGTGAATTTGTAGATCTTTATGTTCGCACCTTTAACCCCAAATATCTTGGGATCCACCAAGCCGATTTTGATGATCTAACCACCATTAGAACCAGAAAAGTCTTTTCTACAAGTTTACTTAAAGCTAGAAGAAATGTTTATTTATTAAAAACTTCTTTAATTTTTAAAAAACTAATTTTTACTAAATGCTAAAAATAGAAAAAATGGAAAATCTTGTGTAGATCATAGTGGAAATAGCAAATTACCATGGTGGAAATAGCAATTTCCTTTATTAATTAAACTCATAGCTTTCGTATTATATTTTAATAAAGTAGTGGGATTCAAGCGGATTCACCAAATGTTTATATTACGATTTATTTAGTACTGTAATATATAAATCATAATATAAACATCTGGTGAATCCACTTAAATCCCACTACTTTATTAAAGTATGATACGAAAGCCATAAGTTTAATTAATAAAAAGTCACGTTTCATAATGCAAATAAGCCACGATGACCTCATGAAAAGAGTATTGTAAACTGTATAAAAAACCTTTATAAATTGTGTAACAATCATTCCGATAATTTCCTAATTTGGAACAGTCTCACCTTGAGGTAGGAACATCTCGAGTGCCCTGAGTTTGTAAATCGTTATACAATTAATTAAAGATTTTTTTTATACATTTTACAATACTTTTTTCGGAAACTCAGGTAGATAATCTCTTCTATTAATCATAATAGAATATTAAATAAACTTAAAGTTCTCTACTTGCCCTACAACATATTCGCTTAATCTTTCTTAATCCCACAACTTTCATATTACACTTCACTAGTCGAAGTTATAAGTAATTAACTACTAATATATTAGCAAAATTTCACTTGTTGCGCAAACAAAAAGGTAAAAACTTTGGAATAACGATTTAGAAAACTAGTATGAGTGTAAAGTTTGGTTTATGTGATCTTTTTTGTATACGTAATATAGATTTTTTTTTAATATTGAAGTATACAAATAACAGTAATTAACTTCATTTTTTTTTTTTTTTACAAAGTTTTTTAGGTTGTAATATAGATTTACGTAGACACAACATGTAATATAGCTATAGAACAAAACTATGAATATTTAAAGGTCTCTATAATAGAATAATAGTGCATAATATTATGAAAGATTCAAGTTTATTAAGGGTAGGGTGTAACTATTTCCAAATTCATATAAAATAGATTGTAGATTAACTTTGTGTAACCAATATCATATAATATCATATGATTTACATATAATAACACATGATCTAACCAATCATAATTAGCTATTTTTTGTGTAATCAGAGGAAAACATATAGCATCCAGGGAAAATTTTAGTTATATGTAAAGTTAAATTTTTTAAAAACAATATGTATTGTACAACTTTATTATTATTAACAACCTATTTTAAACTATATATTGTATAAATTTGATACAAATTGGTTAAGATATTAAAAAGTTTTATTAGAAGCGCTTTTTTGTTTACTATATAAAAATTCAATATACTACATAGATCATATGAAAATTGATCTATGTACACCCTACCCTTAAATATAGAAATAAACATAGAGATTATAAAAATTTTAAATAATGATGGTTATAACTCATATGTAATATGGTTTAAAACAATCCAAATTAATAAAGACATGTTTGTCTACCTGTAATAACATTTAGCAATGTTTATTTAGAAATTTTAATTATAGAATTTTAATTAAATTTCTTTGATTCGCTTCGTTTGTTGTCTAATTTTTTTTAAAAAATTACCAATTTTGATTGACTGTTTGGCATGTGACAATCATTCAACATTCGTGTAACCATTTTCCATATTTGGGACGTTCTTACCAGGACCCCGGATAATACTAACAGAGCTACGAGTTGAGTTAATAGTAAATTTTCGGCCATTTTGTCCACTTTTTTGGCCCAAACTTTTTTAAATTCTGCCCAGAATTAAAATTAAAATTTAATTTGATCAGAATTTAGAAAATTTTGGGCCAAAAAAATGTTAAAATTTAATAAAAACATGTCCAGTTTAGTACTCTTACCCTTTTTAGAATTATCCGGGGTCCTTTCTTACCTGTAGGTCTCACCTGAAGGTTTTGTCAACAAGTATACGTCCATCCCGACAATAAATTTTACATCAGCCATGTGTTCGGCCAAAATTACATTGCAATTTTGGTCGAAATCGTATGAACACGTGGCTAGCGTAACTCCGATCTCAAGGTTGTTTAATTGGTCAATACAATCGTAATTTTGGGCGCGATCTACAGCTAACGCTAACTGCTAATGTCTACATCTTATCGACCAATCAGAATTAAGGGAATAAATAAATTTTTTTTTTTTCGCGCTGATTATCTAAAAATTACAAAATTACTAATTAATGCCTCTCCACGCAGAATCAGCATTACCTTCATTTAATTCAATGGAACTAGATGTATTCGAAAAATCCTCATTTGAAACTGAACTATTCGACCCTCTAGAAATAGACATTTACACTGCTTGCAAAGGTTTATTACTGAAAATTGAAAGAATTCGTCAATCAAATCAGTTTGATGTGCTGGAAAACTTTTGCAACTTCCTAAACGCTTTTTTAATAAATGAAGACTGTCATGATTCTGTGATAAAACCACTTTCGACACGTGAACTATTGAATTGCTTATCAGATCTACTTTTACACCCACTGCTTACTTTACCAATCGCGGAACTATTTCGTCCGATCTTGCTCGATCTAGTTTCTCGTTGGTTATTACCTCGAGAAACTATGCAAATTTCCACCTTTGACAAATTTGAGGTTTACTCTCGAATTGACAACGTCGCTTTTGCTTTCAGTCAATTGTTACCTATAGCTCCCCAATTGTTGAGGCAAGTTTTGAAGTTTGAAAAAAATTTTTATAATTCCCTTTAAATGATAGAATTGAAGTTTTATTTACTAAATTTATTATCCTTTTTAGTTTGGCTGTTACACTCTTTTCCCGATCTCCCTCAATATTTTCAGGACTTGACTCTTTGAATCAAAATGAATGTAATAAAGATGTACGTATTTTAACAACTCTTTTTCCTGTCAAATCACTGCTGTGAATTTAGCATTATGCGTTTATATTTGGTATTGTAGAAATATATGACGGAAAAAGATATACAATCCCTTTTAATCACAGCATATCGACTTTTAAGATTTTCCACGACCACTTTTTCTCGTTTATGGGATTGGTCTACGCTCACTCAATTGTTAACACATCCGAATAAAGCTATTCGTTATCTAACCTTGTGTTGTTTGGGAATTGTTTTTGGTATGAGTGATGAACAAAAGGAAAGGGCGCATAGTATATGGGTTGGTCCAAAAATTGATCCGATTTTGATAGATTGGGAAAATGGCGAAACACTAGACGTTCGGATGTTAACGTATGTGCATTATTTTAAAAAGTTTTTTTTTTTTTTCTTTTCATTCATAGCACATATTAAATTATATCAAATGCATTTACTATATACTGCAGTATTTTGGACCAAGTGATACATTATAAGCAACAGTTTAATCTGCTCCAAAATGATTATGGCAGTTCATTAACAGGATCGCATATATTACAAGATAATGATTTATCACCGTTAACCGTCAAAATTTCAAAGGTTTTGCTACAGAGATTAAATCCTTCAATAAATACTATTTCAAAAGTGAAGCAACGCCTTGTGATGACTGATACCACGCAAAGAAATTTAAATGCAATATGTTTGGCACTTTCTATGGGTTCTCCAATTTTACTTGAAGGCGTTACTGGTTCAGGGAAAACGTCATTGATAGAAGAAATTGCGATTGCAACTGGACGTGATGAAGGTAAATTTTCTATACAAATTTGTTAATTTGCTTTATTTATATTATCTATTATTATATTAATTAATATTATTATAGAACTTGTAAAGATTCATTTAGGTGATCAGACAGATGCAAAAGTACTTTTGGGAACTTATGTTTCTACGTCTACTCCAGCCGCATTTCGTTGGCAGCCTGGGATCCTCACAACTGCCGTGCGTGATGGATATTGGGTTTTGATTGAAGACATAGATCTCGCGTCAATAGATGTGTTGTCTATCTTATTTCCTCTACTTGAGACTGGTCAACTTTTCATTCCAGACAAAGGTGAAAAAATTCTTGCCAAGCAAGGTTTCCAATTATTTGCGACAAGAAATTTATTATCTAACTGTGATGGAGAAATTTCAAAAAGGCAAATGACCGATTCAGATATTAGTAATACACTATGGACAAAAATTAATGTTCAATCTCAGAGTATTGATGAACTCGAATTTATAATTGCAAATCGTTATGAAGGTTTACGGACTTTAGTTCCCGATATTATGCGTGTTTATAAAACTATAATTTCCATTTATCAAGATGTTAAAATGTTTTCGTCAAATGCACTCAAGTTTATATCTGCACGTGATTTGATGAAATGGTGTAAGAGGATCGAATTTTTTTTCAGTTCAAATGATCTTATGATTGGTAGTCAAGGTCTTTCAAGCAGAGTGCGAGAAGAACTCTTCAAAGAAGCTGTGGATTGCTTTTGCGCCATGATATCCGATCATGAAAGTTTGATCGTGGTGTTAGAGAGGCTCGGTGAAACTTTAGGGTTGACAGATCAATGGGTTCGACACTTTGTAAATTCTTACACTCCGAACATTAATATTGATGAGAAAGGTATCATAATCGGACGAGCTCAGTTCGTTTCAATGAATCGTAAAAAATATACAAACATTAAACGTGAATCGCAGAAACAACGGTTTGCCAACACAGGACATGCTTTAAAATTGCTGGAACAGATTGCAGTATGTGTTCTTCTATGCGAACCTGTCTTATTAGTTGGTGAAACTGGAACCGGTAAAACCGCTACGATTCAATATTTAGCGGAGCTTATGCATCAAAATCTTATCGTTGTTAATTTGTCACAGCAAGGTGATAGTAGTGATCTTCTTGGCGGATTTAAGCCGGTTGATGTAAAAGCTATAGTTGCACCATTGAAAGAGGAATTTAATAAGTTATTTGGAAAAACTTTTTCTGTGAAAAAGAATTCTCGTTTTTTGGAAACCGTACATAAAATGTACGTTACCAAGAAATATTTTAAATTAATAACTTTAATGCAAGAAGCAATTAAATTAGCAGGGAAAAGTTTTGACACCGAACAAAGTCAAGATGAACGAAAGAATTCACGAAAAGTATCAAATCCTGAGTTAAGAAATCAATGGAAATTATTTGACAATTCTGTTAAGGAATTCCAACAACAGTATGATCAAATACGTAACAATTTTGTTTTCAAATTTGTTGAGGGTTCTTTGGCTAATGCAGTTACAAATGGTGATTGGATTCTTTTAGACGAAATTAATTTAGCATCTACAGAAACATTAGAATGTTTAAATGGCATTCTTCAAGATCCAGAAAGCTCATTATTATTAATTGAAAAAGGCGATTCTAAGCCAATCATTCGTCATCCAAATTTTAGAATTTTCGCATGTATGAATCCTGCTACTGATGTGGGTAAGCGAGATCTTCCACCGGGATTGCGCAGCCGGTTTTCGGAGTTTTATGTTAGTTCTCCTGATAGTAGACGGGATGACTTGTTGTGTATTGTAAAAAAATATTTATCAGGATGTATTCATGGTGAAGAACGTGCATGTGTTGAAATCGTTGATTTTTATTTGGAGGTAAAGGAATTACAACGACAACATAAGCTCGTGGATGGATCAAATCAACGACCTCATTTTAGTATGAGAACTCTTACTCGTGCATTGAGTGTTGTTTCTCAAATCACGGCGATATATGGATTAAGGCGTTCTATTTATGAGGGTTTCTGTATGACATTTTTGACGCAATTGAATAAAGAAAGTGAAATAATAATGCAAGGACTATTTGAAAAGTATTTATTAAATGGTGTCAATAATCCTAAAGCTTTAACTACACAAATCCCACGACAGCCGCCTAACGGTGATTATGTCCAATTTGGATGTTATTGGTTAAAAATTGGACATTATCCTCCAAAAGAAGTGTCACATTATATATTAACACCTTCAGTAATAAAAAATTTAAACAATCTAGCGAGGGTTGTCATGAGTAGTAAGTTTCCAGTATTGCTTCAGGGTCCTACTTCAGCTGGAAAAACGAGTATGATTCATTATTTGGCTCAAAGAACTAATCATCGTTTTATGAGAATTAATAACCATGAACATACTGATCTTCAAGAGTATCTTGGCAGTTATGTTACAAATAGTGAAGGCAAACTTGAGTACCAAGAAGGAGCACTTGTTGAAGCTGTGAGGAAAGGTTATTGGCTCGTATTAGACGAATTAAATCTTGCACCTACTGATGTATTAGAAGCTTTAAATCGTCTTTTAGATGATAACAGGGAACTTTTTATCCCTGAAACACAAGAAATGATCAAACCACATAGTGACTTTATGCTTTTCGCAACTCAAAATCCATCCGGATTATATGCTGGTCGTAAAGCACTTTCTCGTGCATTTCGTAATCGATTTGTTGAGATACATTTCAATGATATTCCAGAAGAGGAATTAGAAACTATTATTTCAGAAAAATGTTCTATTGCACCATCTCATTGTAAACGTATGGTTCAAGTTTATAAAAGACTCATGGAACAACGTCAAAGTACGAGAATATTTGAGAGGCAGCATGGATTTATTACATTAAGAGATTTATTCCGTTGGGCCAAGAGAGGTGCAATAGATTATAAAGAATTGGCAGAACAAGGTTTCATGCTTTTGGCAGAAAGAGTAAGAAAGCCGGACGAAAAATTAATCGTTAAACAAGTATTAGAGACGGTAATGAAGGTAACTATTGATGAAAATTCCATATATGATTGCTCTAGATTAGAAGAGTTTAAAATGTATCGACAAAACAATATTGTATGGACAAAAGCTATGAAGCGATTATTCATGCTTGTTGCGCAATGTTTGAGGTTTAATGAGCCCGTCTTATTAATCGGGGAAACTGGATGTGGCAAAACATCAGTGTGTCAAGTGTTGGCTGAAGCTCGACACACAGGCTTATATATTTTAAATTGTCATCACAGCACTGAAACCGCGGATTTGTTAGGTGGGCAAAGACCGTTAAGAAATCGAGATATTTTGAATTCTGAGCTTAAACATGATATCTCAGAGTACCTGAAAAGTTATGAAGAGCACGATATTGATTTGGAAAATATTGACTTATGTAGCTTGGTTAGGCGTCTTGATCTCGTTTGTAAAGATGAACAGAGCTTACATATTGATAAAGATAAAGCTAAACACTTATCGTCGAGATATAAACAATCTTGTAGTACATTATTTGAATGGAATGATGGACCACTTGTTAAGGCCATGAAAAGTGGATCTTTTTTTTTGTTGGATGAGATTTCCTTGGCAGATGACTCTGTTATAGAACGTCTCAATAGTGTTCTTGAGCCCCATCGAAGTTTGACACTACCAGAGAAAGGGGGGAAATGTGTTGAAGAATTAGTTGCTAAAGAAGGATTTCAATTTTTAGCAACCATGAATCCTGGAGGAGATTATGGTAAAAAAGAGCTGTCACCTGCTTTGAGAAACCGGTTTACAGAGATTTGGGTCCCACCGATATCGAATGAGGAAGATTTGTTACAAGTAATTAGTGCGCAACTTGTAAACCCTTCAAAAAATGTTGGATCATCAATTTTGGAATTTATAAATTGGTTTTCTCATATGTATGGTAATCAGGGTACAATTATTAGTCTTAGGGATATTATATCGTGGGTAAATTTTATTAATGTCACTATTGAGCGACTTGGCCCAAAAGAATCTTTTATTCACGGAGGGTGTCTAGTTTTCTTGGATGGCCTTGGATCGAGTTCTGCATCGCGTACAATATTGTCAGAACAAGCTTTAAAAGATATACGAATGAAATGTTTGACAAAACTGAAAGAATTAAGCGCTCATTTTTCTGGTTTTGAATCAATTGACAATTTCGATGATTGTGAGTCAATTAGAATAAGTTCAACCGAAACACATTTTGGAATTCATCACTTCTCAATACCTAAAGGACCATATATATCTCATGACATTGCTTTTACTTTACAAGCACCCACAACTTCGGATAATGCCATGAGCATTCTTCGAGCTATGCAAGTCCGGAAACCCATTTTACTGGAAGGTAGTCCGGGTGCTGGTAAAACTAGTTTGATCACAGCATTGGCAGCAGTATCAGGTCAGAGACTTGTTCGTATAAATTTATCTGATCAAACAGATTTAATAGATTTGTTTGGTTCAGATCTTCCTGTTGAAGGTGGAAGAAGTGGTGAATTTGCATGGCGAGATGCGCCATTTTTACAAGCAATGAAATCAGGGGATTGGGTGTTATTAGATGAACTTAATCTTGCATCACAATCTGTATTGGAGGGTCTCAATTCTTGTTTAGACCACCGTGAAGCGATATATGTTCCAGAACTGGACAAGGAATTCTTTTGTGCCCAAGGATTCCGCGTTTTTGGTGCACAAAATCCTTTGTATCAGGGTGGTGGTAGAAAAGGCCTCCCTAGATCATTTATTAATCGATTCACACAAGTTTATATTGAACAACTCACAAATAATGACTTACTCTTTATATGTAAAAGCTTATTTCCGCGAATAAAAGACAGCATCTTAAAAAAAATAATAGAGTTTAATACTCGAATAAATGAAGATATAATGATTAAATGCCTATATGGCCGAAGTGGTGCCCCATGGGAATTCAACTTACGAGATGTATTACGTTGGCTTGAATTACTTAGTAAAGATTATAGCCTTGGCTTTTATTCTTCTCCTGCAGAATATTTAGACCTTATCTATCTTCAGAGGATGAGAAATAAACAAGATAGAGATTGTATTATTTCAGTGTTCAATGAAATTTTTGGCTTGAATTATCAGCAACAAAAACATCCATATTATCATATTGATCCTAAATTTATTCAAGTAGGACATTCACTTCTGGAACGTGAAGATTCTAATATAAGTCATTCTTTGACGAATAAGCTGCATGTTTTACAATCTCAACTACGTCCATTGCAATCACTGATGAAATGTGTTGAAATGAATTGGATGGTCATGTTAACCGGTCCTGAGGCATCTGGAAAAACTAATTTAGTAAGGTTACTTTCAAACCTTACTGGGAATCCACTTGAAGAATTCATGATGAATAATTCTGTAGATACTATCGAATTATTAGGAGGATTTGAACAATTTGACTTATCTAGGCATCATCAAATAGTAATTAATGAGTTATTAAATTTGACTAATGAGGTTACTAAAGCTATACTTCTGATAACACATATTCCATTATCAAATTCTGATTATCAACCTGATAAGGTTGTGCAAACTTTGATGCAGCTTAATCATGTATTATTTACCTTAAAAAATTATTTCAAATTTAATATGCGGTTGGATTATTCATTAGTTGATTCTTTATTGTCAATACTTGAACAAACCATTTCAAGTTATGGTTTGGCTTTAACAGTTCAATGGAATGCAATCTTTGATAAAGTTTCTAGCCTAAAGACTAAGGAAAATGAGCCCGTTTCGGGTCTTTTTGAATGGGTTGATGGCATAATCATTAAAGCATTACAAAATGGTCATTGGTTACTAATTGATAATGCTAATCTCTGCAATCCGTCTGTCTTCGATAGACTTAATTCTTTACTTGAACCAAATGGTGTCTTAATGGTAAATGAGCATAGTATGATTGATGGCGAAATCAGGATGATTCGCCCCCACAAAAATTTTAGGCTTTTTATGACCCTTAATCCAAAAAATGGAGAATTGTCACGCGCAATGCGAAACCGTGGTGTAGAAATTGCATTATTAAATACAGAATTGATTGAAAATCGGCAAGATATGACAAAGCTTGCCAATAGTTACGGACTTTGGCACCCTTATTTTCCCGTTGCTATGGAAAATTTTATAAGCGAAATTAATCATATATCATTGTCTAATAAATTTCAACCAACCCTAAGATGGTATATCATGGTTGTGAAAATGGTAAATGAAAGAATTCAGCGTGGTGATAACTTCTTGCGAGCTTTAATTTTATCGTTGCAACGAGCTTGTTATTGCATTGACAATTATAACTTTGAAGTATATTTCCAAGATCTTATGAAAACTTACGAATTCGATAAGATTAATCCTTCATCCAACATGTTATTACATTCTAATTGTCCACTTATTGTTGATGGTGATTTATACAAGTATGAGTCAATTTTAGCCAATGTTTGTTTGCAAGCTTCTTATCTCTTACATATCGTTCTCAAGTGTGGGCATGATTCGAAATCATCAAATTCATTACTTGTGGCCAGTGAATGTTTTATTGAGATGACTTCTTTAGAAGATTTTCCTATACGACAATATTGGATTAATTTCATTTCCTCTGCGATACAATCTTCGTATTTGTCAGACAGTAACAAGCAAAATTCTTTGGATTATGCTCAATTTCTGCTAAATAAAATTATAAATCACCCACTTGCTATTCAACTTGCTGATATTAAAAGTCGAATAGCTTGTGGAATCGGTCTTGATGTGTCTTATATGTCATATCAGGTCCGTGAAGGTTTTCTTTTTTTTTTATTTCATTCCAACGTTGTGAAATACTAATTTACTATATTTTTGAATCATTAGCCTCTCGATATTACAAGAAATTTTCCTTTAATCAATTCACTTGATGTATACACATCCAATCTTTGTGATAACTTGAAAACTGGTCCAGTTTATATGTTGTGGAAAGAATATTCTTCAAAGATTAAAGAATTTTCTTTGTTAAAACACATTCTGAGGGATGAATATGTTGAAAATATGGCTTGTGAACAGGCCATGCAACAAAAAGTCTCAAATATGACTTTGGCTCAGCAGTCGTACTGTTATCATCAGGGTAGAATTTCTGAGAGCCAGCTAAGCAATAAAATTATTGGGATTATATATCCCTTTTTGGAAAAATCAAGACAATGTATCCTTTCTTGTATCAATAAAGAGTTAAATGTTGATGAGGTATGTTTGCAGTTTATTTTGATGGCCTGTTAACTTTTTGCTAAATGTGGATGTAAAATAATGGAGAATTCATTATCGGTTACTCTAGTCGTCTTTGTTATTTGATTTTATAAACCAACGAAGATTTTTATGGGAATGTTTGCAGCAGTTATCTCTTGACATTGGAGAGCTGTTTACATGCACCAAAATGCTTGATGAAATAACAGTTTTGTTATATGATAAACACCAAGAAATTATGCGTCCTCTACGTGATATTTTGAGTACCATGGCTGAAGCCACAGCTTTGACAACCGGATTATTTATGGACATATTATGGAAACATTTTCATCATATATCTCTTAGAAATACGGATCTTTCTCTACTTGAACAAGAATTATATTCAACTCAAAATGAATTGAATAAATATGATACAAATCAAGATGGTAAGCATTATTTATATTTTCTATATTCAGATCCCAAGTTAACTTATCTTACCTTTTACTTTCCTTGCAAGATCCAAGCGAGCCATTCAATTGCATAATGGATTATTGGAGCGTTATTTACGAGATGCAGATTATCAGTCAACTTCAATTTATCGCTGCGCAAGAATTTAAATCTACAGATGTTTGTGTTTTCCAAATTTCCAAATTGCTTTTGATTATATTCTTTGCAATCCATATAATACAATTGTTGCATTCGTGCACAATATTTTAGGTTGAATATAGCACAACCCTTTGTCAAATATCTGAATTTCGTGATTTGATGCTGATAAATTCAACAAGAAAACCGCTAGACCTTATTCCACATCAACGAATTCTGTGGATATACGGAAATGACGTCAATGGTTTGACATAATTTCGAATTAAATTTTGCTTTATGATCATTAATAAATCTTAAACGCTTATTGGCCAAATTTGGTTTGGTTTAGTTCCCAAGGATAAAGCTAAATGCCAATTGAACAATATTATTCAGGATATGTTATATGGATGGCACAATAAATTATGGAATAATAGCTTTAACAATATTATTATAGGCAATGATATGACCAACTCAAAATTTTCAAGGGCAAGTCTTATGCTTTTTAGGCCTCATGAATTAAGTGTAGTTCGGTTACTAATCATTCTTCTATTTTTATATTATAGCATACTGAAGGCTCTGCTAGGTTATTTCAAAGCGTTTTTAGCGAATATTATTTTAAATTCACGTAAGAAATTTATTAATTTTTACATAATCATATATCATGCACTTAAATTTTGATTTTTTTTTATTTAGTTGTAAGGTACAATCTGTATCTATAGGTTCATTCAATTCTGCATTAATTTGCCTTGAAAATTTTGAAAAACAAATGGGAAATAAATTATTCATTAAAATAAATCGAATGAGTTCTGATATTGCATGTCTTATGCAGCACCTTAATCAGGTTAGTAATCTTGATAAATGAAATAATTTCACGTCAAGTGTACTAATTTTATTATTTCACTTATTAATTACACGATAGATTTTCATTCCACTTGGCCATTTTTTTTCGTCAGAGTCTTGGAATGAAATATGTCGCAACTTTGAACTTATTCTTAATGCAACTAGATGTTCCCCGATTCTCCAGGCGAATGATACTATTTTTAATTCACTTTTTGCTCTGGCTGATGCGTTGAAGACAACACAAGATTCGTTTCTTCGTCTTGCATTAGATCAATGGTTTATTCCAGCAGTTAATTCTATTTCAGCCATTTTCCAAAAAGAGCATACATATAATGAGCTGTTGGTAAAAATTGGACGCTCATGGGTCTTCCTTGCATTAGGTTTTATTACATTATATGTTCCAAATTATCCTTTTGATCCGACGTTGAAAGCTTCTTTTATATGTAAACAACTGCAATTTAAGCAATCCCAATTGGAAGTTGAAATCAATGTCCGTGCTGACGTTGAACAGCATATAACCGGCGAGTCTACAAATAATACTATTAAGAATTTGAAACAAAATTTAGATGAAGTTAGATCACTTTTGAAGCGTAAATCTGTCGAGTTGGCATTGCGTCCAGAAGTTTCTCAAATTAACGAACTCTTTAGACATGTACATTACATTTGTAATAATGTTATAGATGTAACACATGTTTTAACACTTCTTGACGATCTGGAAAAAGGAAACGATTTATCCGTTCTTGAGCGTGAAATTTTGTTGCAAGAAAAAACTTTGCAATTTATTCAACGAATAAATCAAAATTACCCACTCTATCATGATTTACTTCAGCCAATTTGTATTTCTATCTTTCAACTAAAACATGGCATTAGGCTGGTTGCTTCATCTTCCAAAAGTCTAAACCTTTCACACGACTTTACAATATTTAATGTATTGAAATGTCTTTTATCAATTACCAAGTTGGGGTATCCATTAGAGTGTATCGAGGTACTTGTTGCACCTGAATCCTTGAAACAAATTAAAAAAATAATTTTTTCGGCAGAATCTGTTGTTGATCGATGGGATAAGTATTTGGAATATATGGTCGTCATTCTTCGATGTTTGTATTGTCACATATCAAAGCGTGGTCACATAATCTCTAAAGATTTGGAGTTTATTCAAAGAATATTTGGAGAGATAGCAGAAATATACGTTGCTGCTGAAGATCAAAAAAACAAAATTGCTTACGAAAATGAATGTTTATATAAAAATAAAACTAAAGTGCATTCTAGCATTACTGACGAACAATATGCTGAAACGGAGTTCAGGCAAATGTTTCCGGATTTTAGTCAGGATTTTGATGATACGAAAGATGATAATATGACGGATGATTCACAATCAAAGTTGTCAGAAGTAGTAATTGTTAAAGATGAAATTATTGTAAAAATATGCACGCTATATAAAATTTTTGTCAGTGATTTTAATTTATACCGCACAAAAGGTTTTGAATGTTGTTCAAAAGTAATTCAGCAGACATTCTGGGCATCTTTTAGCATGGCACGGGATCTTGCTGCACTCGATAGCAGATTATATCCTGAAGAACTTGATGATGCATTTGCAGCATGCAAATTATTAGGCACATCGATATTAAAAAATTGGCTTGTAGGAGAGGATGAAGTCATAAATACATCTAATTCAATTAATCCAGGTCTAGAAATGTATGACTTTTACAAAGATCATAACATCTTTGAGGCAAAAAAATTAATTCCTGTGATCACAAATTTGCAGCAACGCATTATGGAATTGATCACAATATGGCCTGAACACGCAGTACTTCACCAAATTAATAACATTTGCGAGAAGATTAAAGGATTCAATTTAAATTCACCTATTGTAAAATTCCTTACAGGATTAGAATTTTTATTACAAAAAACAGATGATTGGGAAGCGTATGCTGGTAGAGATACATCAATTAAGTCACATCAGAAAGAGATTATTGAGCTTATTATTCAATGGAGACAACTTGAATTGAATTGTTGGCCAAAGTTATTGGCAGTGCAAGATAAATATTATGAATTATCCGCATCTAAATGGTGGTTCCACCTTTTTAACTGTATAATTCTACCCATACATGATCTTAGTAAACAATCATATGCTTACGATAAAACAACTGCAATATTTCAACAGCACATAAATGGAATTGTTTGCACTCTTGATCAATTCTTACAATCGTCAAAATATGGTGACTATAAATCTCGGCTCGAATTGATTCGTTCATTCTACGAACACCTTTGTACACTTGATCATTATTCAAAATTTAATTTACATGATAATTCAAGTGAGGAAATATATAAGTCGCTTTATGAACAAGCAGCTGATGTTCTTTGGAATGTCTACAAATATTATTCACAGTTTCTTGGTGAACTTGACAATGCATTAATTAACATGCGCAAGCCTATAGAAAAAGACCTCTTCCAATTCGTAAAGATTGCTAGTTGGAAAGACATAAATATTTATGCTTTAAAGCAGAGTGCTCAGAAAACTCATCGACATTTATCTAAATGTATTCGAAAATATCGAGACGTGCTCGATAAGCCTGTCACAGATATTATAGCATCTTGTCAAATGGATTCCTCCAAGAGCCAGTTAGGATGTAACAGTTCCAATGCTGCTGAGTATTCTGCATCCGATTTCCCGGAAAATTGGGTTTCGAATACTAATCCTATTGATCCACCCGCAACGACATTAGAACTACAAATAACATTAAGCAAAGAAGTATTACCTGCTCCTGACCGATTCATTAACATAGATAAAACCTTGAAAAAATTCCGCTATTATTGTCTTAATGATATACTCTTATGCAAGCCCTTTTATAAGAAATTTATTCTTGATGATTTTGCTACAGAAATTATTTCACAAATAAAAACACTTCAAGAACAAACGAATTGCATAACGGATAAAGATAAAAGAAACTACATCAAGAATCTCAAATTGGTAAAGAAAAAATCATTGGTTGATCTTTTAAAAGAGCTGAAAAGAATCGGATTGCATGTATTCCCCAATGCAAAGGTTATAAAGCAACAACAAGATCTGGTTGGTTATACTTTTCAGCTCCCCAGGATTCAAATTACTAGATCATTATATGAAACAGTAGATTCTTTGCTCTATAAAGACAAGCACACTTCGAAACTTCCAACAACTATGCATATTTTCATACCAATTTTACAAAAGGCTGATGATTATTATTATAGAATTATTGCACAAATGACACACCTCCGACAAATAGCTACTGCTCATTCTAAGGATCTTTCACTTCAAGAAGTGCAAAAAGGATTAGGTTTTGCAGAAGATTTGCTATGTTTACTAATAGAAGAAAGAAAATTCTTGTGTGAATTAGAAAAGGAATACATTGGGCTTTCGGGAGTTATGATACAGTTAAGCTCAATACATTCAGCATACAGTTCCCATCGTTTAAATGTTAAAGAATCTGTTAAAGATTGTGGATTTGTGTCTCTCAATTCTCTCGACGTAAAGAGTGTACGGAATATCAAAGAGCTTATAGATGATATAGAATACTTGTTATCACATTCATGTTTATTATTTGACATTCATAAGAAATTCTCAAAACATGAAATTTCTTCCGAATATGAGGAGATTAGTCATAATCTCGGTAATTGGTTCGAGAAAATCTTTGCAGTTCGGAAAGAATTTATTTGTATATTTGACAGGATCGTTTTATATCCTGCTTATGCCAATGGAAGAGATGCAATTATAACTCAGGACATTATAAAAATGGTAAAAGATGATATTCATGTTATTAATACTTTGCATATATATGTTAAAGATCTTTGTTCTCGACATCCGGATCTTTCACACATTTTTCAGCCACTTTGTGAATATATAACTTCAAAAAATAATCTCTTTCAATTTTCGAAACAAGATTATGCGCAGCTAAACTTAGATGATGGAACAAAGTTAATTCTTGGACAAATTGTTTATAAAGTAAACGATTTGCTTGATGGGATCCTCCTAAATATTCAAAATTTACGAAAACTGTCCGTTCAAAACATCAATAGTGTCAATAGCAATAGTGAGCAAAACATCAATAGTGAGCAAAACGACATTCATCATCAAAATCAAGAAGACATGTGTGACGGCTATATCCGTTATGAGCATGAACGTTATATAAACTTTTTAAAGAAACTGCAATTAAAAGTTATTTTGGATCATTTCAAAGAAATTCATTCACAACTTTCTGAATTAATGGACGATAATAGATTTAATAATGATGATTGTAAGGATTTAATTTCATGTCTACTGCAAAGAATCTTTCCATTTATTCAGCAATACTTTATGATCGTTAATGGTTTTATGATAAATTTTGTTTTTCACAATAAATCTTTGTGTAAGCTCTCGTTGGTACTTTGTAACTCTTTTGTCACTATATTCACAAAAGGATTCTGCATGCCAGAAACGGAAATAGAAGATGATGAATCAGGAGAGATTGATGATAATGCACAGGGAACTGGTATTGGTGAGGGCGATGGTATGAAAGATGTGAGTGACGAGATTGTCAATGAAGAGCAAGTATTGGGAACTCAGAATCAGTCTGAACAAAAGTCATCAGATGACCTAACTAATCCAAACACAGAAAATGACGGAATTGAAATGGAAAATGATTTTGAAGGGACGATGGAAAACATAGAACAACCTTATAATACGGATTCATCTAAGGAAGACGATGACTTGTCGAATTTGGATGAGCAAGTTGGTAATTTTGATGATGACGACGACCAAAACGTTGATGAAAAAATGTGGGGAGATGATGCGCCTGATCATGATGAAAGTGGAAAAAATGTTGATCAAAATCATAAACAGTCTGACCTAAAAGATGAAATGGATATCGTTGCAAAAGAAAATTGTAATGATTCTAAACAAGAATCGCATCAGCCCAAACAGTCAGACGAACAAAATATGAGTGAAGCGGATGAAGAAACTTCAAATGAACAAAATGATAACGAATGCGATGGGCAGATCAATAATCAAACTAATATTGAATTCGATGTCCCTCCAGTTGAAAATTTAGATCTTCCAAATAATATGAATATAGACGATTTTGGAGATGAATTTGACGATCAAGACGATGGAAATCTTAGTAATGAAGGTCTTGATGATCATGATGTAGATAACCTTGACAATGAAGATGATCTTCCTTCCAACATGGATATAGATGTACCCGAACCTGACACGATCCAAGAATCTTTTATGAATGATCAAGATGATAATAAGTCTATTGATTCATTGGTAACTGAGATTATGATGGATGAACCGGATGGCATTAATGACATGGATGATATGCGACCTGAAAATGAAAATGAAATTGAGGAACAATTAGAAAAAAATAATTACGATCCATTAACAGAGTCTAACCAAAATATAGTTCCTATTAATAACGATCAATCGGAAAGTATTGAAAGAGAAAATAATCCTGATGAATCATTCAATAAAGAACATCCAAATTCAGAAATAACTGTTGATAATACTTATGGTATTGACGGACAATCAGGTAAAATGACTGATGTCTCAGAAGAAAGGTCCTATAAAGACTCACGAGTTGCAAATAAGAACAATAATAAACATGATGATAATCCTATGAATGATATCTACCCAAATAACAATGGAAATGATAACGATTTGGATAAAAATTTTGAATTTATAGAAGATGAAAATGTTGCTCACGATCTTCATAAAAATTTTGAATTTATAAAAGATGAAAATGTTGCTCACGATCTTCAGGTGATGGCAGCGGCTACTGAAGATCAAATAAAAACGATTGATACCAACGGTGACGATCACCAAACTTGTAATCACAAACCTACTTATGAAGATAAAGAAATCGAAGAAGTTGATGAATTCACCAGTATTCAAAATGACAAATCCATTTATGATGACTCAACCTCTATTAATAAAGAAGAAATCTCTATTAATAAAGAAGAAATCTCTATTAATAAAGAAGAAATTTCTATTAATAAAGAAGAAATCTCAAAGGAGATATTAATTTCTGAACAAGACAGAGAACACCAGATTGATAAGCAAAAACATTCTTACGACGAATCCGAAATAAAAACTATGAGTAAATCCAGTTCGTTCCAAGAACATTTTCCTCCAGAGGATATTGATAGTTTACGACAAGAACTTGAAATTAAATTATCGGAATGGCGAAAATCCGACCGGGATATTACCAAAGCAAGGGAACTCTGGCGAAAATACGAAAATCTTACTTACGATTTGGCTAATAATCTTTGTGAACAATTGCGACTAATTCTAGAGCCTACTCTTGCTGCCAAATTAAAAGGAGATTATCGTACTGGAAAAAGGCTTAATATGAAAAAGATTATACCATATATTGCCAGTAATTTTAGAAAGGACAAAATTTGGCTTCGTCGCACAAAACTAAGCAAACGACAATATCAAGTTATGATAGCAGTCGATGATTCAAAATCAATGAGTGAAACTCATTCGATTCAACTCGCTTATGAGACATTAGCATTGATATCTAAAGCATTATCGCAGCTCGAAGTTGGTGACATTTCCATTGTTAGTTTTGGAGAAAGGGTGCAATTACTTCATCCCTTTGATCAACCATTTAGCAGTGAAGCAGGAGCACAAGTTTTACATCAATTTACATTTGAACAAAATAAGACCTACGTTAGATCTTTAATGGAAACATCTATCGAACTTTTAGAACGTGCCAGAAGCAAATATAATGGTGTATCACAGAAAAAAGGGTTATGGCAACTTCAACTAATAATATCAGATGGTGTATGTGAAGATCATGAAACTCTCAAGTCTCTTGTTAGAAAAGCAACTGAGGCACAAATAATGGTTGTATTTATAATTGTTGATAAAAAATCAGAAAATGATTCTATAACATCGATGAATCAAGTCAAGTATAAATCAGTAAATGGGCTAATGACACTTAGTATGGAAAGATATCTAAATACATTTCCATTTGAATATTATGTAATCTTAAGAAATATCAATGCATTACCAGAAATTCTTGCTGATACACTAAGGCAATATTTTAGCATTATTAGTCAGGATATTTTGTAGTTTCTACTTTTATATAAATACATGATTAGAATTATTAGAATTTATTTGCAATTCAGTTATGGCAGAAGAATCATCTATAGCGGAAATCAACAAAACCGTAAAATTAATTATCTATGGCAGAAGTTATCAAAACCGAAAAATCGTCTATGGCGAAAGTTCACAAAACCGAAGAATCATCTATAGAGAAAGTCACTAGACGTAATTACATATATATTACATTAAATTTACAGGGTATAATTACCGAAAACTTTGTATTTAATCATTATACTTAACATTATCAAAATCGAAGTTATTAATAAATTAAAAAAAAACAACAATTTCAATAAAAAATTTTAATTAATACAAAAAAAACGTTTTATTTATTTATTATATATATAAACATTGAATTAAAAATTTACATGTGCATAATTTTTCTATATTATACTATATAACTATATAACTTTTTTTAATTTCGACTATATAATTTTTTTCGTGTTAAAGGATACTTAGTTTCGGCTAAAAAAAAAAAAATAGCTTACTTGTCCTAGTCACCACGTAGAGGTGTATCCTATGACTAGGAAATGTCTCGACAAAGAACTCGCGAAAACTCAAGTGAGCTGGGAATTTTATCAAACCTCAGCTTCTCGAGCAAAAACTGATTAGATAACCCCTGCCGCTTGTCGGTTTTGGCTTTAAAGTTCATGTTGCCGAAGGCGTGACCTGCTCGAAAGGAACACGAGAAAAAAAAAAAAATGTTTTGACAAAGAACTCGCGAAAACTCAAGTGAGCTGGGAATTTTATCAAACGTCAGTTCTTCGAGCAAGAACTAATTAGATAACCCCTGCCGCTTGTCAGTTTTATGCTTTAAAAAGTTCATGTTGCCAAAACGTGACCCGCTCGAAAGGAACACGAGAAAAAAAAGGTGGAAATAGAACGAAGGAGATAAAAAGGAGGAAATAAACAAACAGAAAGTTATAATATTATTAACGTTTCTGGAATATTCTCAGAGAACGTTAAGTGTACCTTCAAAATATCATAAACTTTCTGTTTCGACCATAAAAACGGGTGTATATAAAAAGTGTAGTATCAAAAAAGAAAAAAAGACGGATAAAAAAATATAAAGGAAAAGATAAAGGAGGAAGAAAAAGTGTAGTATCAAAATAACGATAAAGAAAAATAAAAGGTGAAAAGTGATCCTTATATACTTGCAAACGTGTGAAATAAACACGCGCAGTGTTTATTTTTTACAGTGTGCGCATGTGCAGATCCTTAATCAGATTGGATCTGCATAGGTGCGGGTACGTGAAAATAAACACTGTATACGCGTATAAAATAGTCATAAAAATCAGGTGATCGTTTAAACAAGTTTGATTGGCTGACCAATCAAGTAAATGACATCATTAGGTCCAAACGGTATATTATAATTATATAACGATATCGATATTGTGTGAAATTAATTTAACGTTAACGATCAGTGTCAGTGATTTGTCGAACGTAAACGTTTTTGACAATAATTAAATAAACCAATTCTTTTTGTTCCATCAGGATAGGCATTTATATTAATGCAAAAAAAAAGTATGCAAAATTAATACGCAAAATTCTATCTATGCAGTATGCTAATAAACTATCACTATATGACGAACCTAGCATCGCCCAAAAATCAGTTACGTAGTAGCATTTAAACTAAAATTTCCGATAATTCATTTTTATATGACAGATAATTTTGTAATTATTACATATCAATATACAGTACTACTTTTTTGAACGATAAAATTTTTGTAATTATTATTACAAATAAATTTACTTATCTTTTTGAACGATAAAAATTTTTTCTTATTTTATGAATCCTTTTTGCAAATTGTGCCGAAAGTATAAAGCTTTAAAGCTTTTCAAGAAAATAAGACTTGTTCCAAATGTTTAGTACGTTTTAGAGAAGTAAAAAACAAAGCATGAAGAAAGTAATGCTGATAATTTGGTGTTGAAGACAATCATGGATATATTAATGAAAATTTGAAAGTATTCATATATTTTATTTTGAAACAACAATTAATTAAGTACATGGATTAATGAAATTACCTTGGAGATAGAACAAGATCAGCACGAACAATACGCTGCAATTGCAAATAAAGTTGTCAAACTTGTTGAGCAGGGAGATTGATAAGCACGATTCAATTTTGATATATGATTCAGAAACTATTGAGGAATCTAAGCAATTGAACTGAAACAATACTTAAAAGGTGTTATTTGCTTTATTTATTTAGTATATTTTTTTAAATCTAACAAAATTAACTTTTTTAAATAGTAGAATTTATTGAAAATAATCAAATTTTCCCCAACAAAACAAATGGCTAAATGCGGTTGAAAAAAAGAACTTGGAGGAATTCGAAATGTAAAAACATTAAGAAAAACATGGAGTGGGCATATTTCAAATGCCTTCTATTAGCTATTAGCAGTAGTGATTTTTCAAAAAGATTTATGCAATAATTTAAAAACATTTCAAGCTATGAAATACTTGGTGGATATAATTTCTTTAATGGGATAAATTTCATTGCGCAAACGTGTAGCGTTTTATTTTTTATTTAAATCTAATATTAAAGTTTTTAAATCATAATTATCTTTTATTGATATATGAATTTTCATAATAAAAGTATTTTATCTTTTGCGCCATTTAAATTATTGTACATTAATTTGTCGGAATTTTGATTTAAGTGCCGTTACGTAACTGATTTTTGCGATACTAGGGTGGTTCTGTTCTAAATTGGATTGTTACAGAAAATTTATTTTCAAATGAATTCAGCGTGAATATATGGGCAGCCGTCATAGAAATAAGGCAGATTGACATTTTAAAAAAATATTAATGCCTTAACTTTCACAGCTCATATCTTGATGAATTTTGAAGCTATCTTAATTATTTAATAGTCAAAAGAAAGCTTACGATCTAAGCTTTCTTTTGAATACTAAATAATCAAGATAGCCTCAAAGATTATCAAGATATAAGCTGTGAAAGTTAAGGCATTAATTTTTTTAAAAATGTCAATCTGCCTTATTTCTATTGACGGCTGCCATATGTACAGAAATTTCAGTAATTAATATTAAATAATTTGCAAATGTGCAAAGCAACGATAGTATAGAAACATATTAAAAAATTTTTTTTTTTAAAAAACATTTTTTTGAAAGAAAAAAAAAATCTTCTAAAAAACATTTTTTAAAAGAAAAAAAAATGAAATCAAATTAGAGATTGTACCCGTCAAGAAATCTCTACCCGGGTATTATTAAATTACCCGGTTATCCGGGTAATTTATTATGCCATATAATAAAAATGTCTACCCGGGTACAATCTTTAAATCGAATTTTTTAAAACGAAACTTAATGACCATGAGCCGGTACAAATAAGAGCTTGTACGCTTTTTTCAGAAAGGTTTATGTGTTTAGCCTGAACTGTTCCACTGCCTTTAAAAATATTTGTTAGAAGGCACCGAAGTTGCCTGAATTTCGAGAAAATCCTTAGTAAGTTTCCACTACTCCAGTGGATTAACGTTCATTGGTAAAATAACTTCATTCTAATATTGAGTGAGCTCATCCTCAGAAATTCTTGCACAGTGTCTTGTGAATTTGGGGAATTAATATAAGAAAGATCGTTCCAGAAAATAAATAATACATATGTATTTAAATGATATTAAAAAAAAAAACATTTATGTGTTAATTTATTAATAGAATATTAAAAACAAAAATCTTAATAAATTTTTCTAAAATACTGCATTTTTATTGGTTTTTGTTTTACGAAAAAATACTTCAAATTTGGCCATATTAAAAAAGTTACTGGGTTTAGGTGTCCCGCACCGTACGCATTTAATCGTAACATGTTGCATGCTTATTGTAACAACTTAGTATTGCCAATATGTAACCTAAATCCTAAATCTAACTTATATTGGCTAACTGTAAGTTATATATTGCAAGCAATGGTTTTTAACTTTAAAACCAATTTTGTATATAATAGTGCTATGCTTTAGAAATAAAATAACGCTTTTAAAAATTTTACATATAAATAAATTTATACATGAACATTTAAATGCGTCTATTTACTAGTTTAAAATAAAGTTCTTTGTATATAGCTTACACATGTATAACCAAAAATTTATCAATTTTTACATTGAAAGGATCTTTACAATTCTGCATCACTCTCACCACTTTCAATTCCCCCATCATCTACAAGCATTCTATTACCTGTTCTTCTAATAGGCCTTCCTCCAAGTACCTCATCAACAACATCATAATCAAAATCCTCTCCTACTCCAATACCTTCACCTCCAATTAAACTTAATACCACAGGTAATAATAATAGTCCATGTAACGCACCTGTTATAACCATACTAACATACATTCTAAAATAATACACCTCAAATATTTTGCTTCTAGTAAATGCCAATACTAATATACCCCAAAATTTTGTTAATGTAATACCTGAAAATACAGAACTTCCTACATCTACTATAGCACCATACGCTCTTTCATTTTTTTCTACTCCTTCTCCTCCTACTACAAATGCTCGTACTACATGAACACAAAATTCTACGCCAATTCCTACACATATTACTAGATTTACTAAGCTTACCGCATTCAATGAAACACCCCATATTGCCATTATTCCGAGCACATCTACAACTATCATAATCACATGACCTACTACAATTAATCCCGTCCATACGCTACCCAACAGTAATGATGTTACTACCCATATTGATAAAAATGCATATAAAAATATTTCAGCTGATAATCCTACTATATGTTCATATTGTTCGAAAAATATATAAAACACAGAGTATGGAAATACATCTACAGTTGGATTTTTCTTTTTGATTTCTTTACTAATACGATGTGCTGCATGATATGCTGATATGTAATCATTTTGACTTTTAAGAGGTGTATGGAATGTACGGAAATGACTTGCTACTACAGTATTATTTTTTGAACTTGAAACTATTGCATCTCCATATGCAGCTTTACCTGCTAATGGACATGATTCATCAGGTGCAGAATTTTTCCATAAATTCATATAATATAAAAATTCACTTCCTTCTGGTAAACCCTTCATTGTAATATTCCATTTAGGTTCTCGATCTTTAAAACAAACTTCACAATCATCTTCGTCATCATAAATATCACACATTTCGGTAGGATTGGAACCTTTTTTGAATCGACAACACATTTCAAGTGATGGATTAAGCCAATGTAAGAAATCATCAATCCATGATGCTGTAGGTTCTGCTATATATGATACATGTGATCTTTTGCGTTCTTGTTCCAAGATATTGGATAATGAAAATTGTTCGCATGTACTAAAACGTCCACATAAAGCTCGCTGACCTTTACTTTCTGTAACGTTTACGTCTTTGGCAACAAAATAAACAGGTGGACCAACACGGAAATAACTATCCAAATCATCGAAATAATCAATAAGATAAGAATCACTGGGTAGTGCAATACGTTGATCTATGAGAATCAAAATAATTAATAATTGAATATTATCAAATGCATCTTCTATTTAACCTATAAGCGTAGAATTTAACCTACCGAGTCCTAACTCAACTTGAGGTACCAAGCTTAATCCAATCATAAATGCACCAACAAATAATGAGATTATTGTGATTTTAACATTTTTATGTAATATGAATGGCGCGTAATACTTTCTCATCCATTTTTGAAGTATACCTTCTCTATCTATCCTTTCTGATGCACGTTCAATTTTAACACATGGAAAACAATCCATCCTATCATCCTCCTGTCGTTTAGCATCTAAGGATAGAAATGCTATGAACACAGTTACTTGTAATAAATAATCCACCCATACAGCTAAAGCAGCATAAAGAGCAAAATTTCGTACAGCAGGCATTGTAACTATACCACCTAAACCGAATGCAATAGTTTCACTTAACGCACTAAGAAGTATACTTGGACCCATTCTACCTAAAGTTTTTGCAATACGTTCTTCAACAGAATCTTCACCACCTGATCTTAAAGTTAATCTCTCAAATTCGTGATTAAGAATAAAAATGTTATCCACTCCTACAGCCAGTACAAGAAATGGAATAACTTCGGCGATAATAAGTGTAACTTTGATTCCAAGGAATGAGAAAATTCCAACAGATGTTGATACTGACGCTAAAACTATAAAGATACCACAAATGCCCAGCATGAATTTTGTATCAATAAATATACGTGAGAGAGATGATCTGTTACCCAAAGCTATAGATACATATAAAAACATAACCAAATACGAAAGTATGATTGTGAAAAAATCAGTGTTGGTCGATTTGTTTAATTCAAGTTCTAAAGAGCTCTGACGTATATTTAAAAAAATTATTTCATCAAAAAAATAGAATCAAAATTTTTATGGATAGGATTGAATAAGTTAGACAAGTTAAATAAGTTAAATGATAATAAAAATTAAAATATAAAAGGAATATCTACGTACTTCTGTTGAAAAGCTTATTCTAATATCAGTAACGTTAACATCATCATTTTTACCATCAATGACTTCGTGCAAATAACTTCTCAAATTTTCTTCCCATTCTTCGGCCATCTTTGCTTTATCCTTTTTCAAATAATTGTTTAAAACAAAGGTAAGTACTAAAGCCTTTGCTTCTTTATAATTTGAATTTTCGAAACCCCCAAGAATCATATCTGGTTTTAATGGTTGCTGAAAATCAGGTAAACAAAATGAAGGAGCAGCTGCGCAAGAACTAAACTCATCTTCCCAAGTATCTTCATTAAAATTTTCAATATCAGATTGCCAATAACCAGTTACAGATTGAACAATACACGCATCACCATTGGGATGGAAACATAAATCTTGTAGAGTATATTTGTGAGGGGATGATTTTAGATTACGAATTTGTTTCTCAATTATGAACAGTTTCTTGAGATTTTCGTACGTTACAACACTTTGAGTTTCATCTTTATTCGTAATGAAAATTTGTTGAGTTCGATAAAAAGGACCAAAATTTTTATCAAAATATTCTTTTTGAATTGCCGAATCAGAATTTGGAGCGACCCAAAGTCGGACGGGATCAGTTTCCACCTTAAAGCAAGCCCAACCTGATGAAGCGATTAATACAAAAATACCAGCCACAATAATAGTATGCCAAGGGTATCTTGCACAAGTGAAACCTTGTTGATAGAAATATTCTTGTAGTAATTCGTTAAGCCAATAACGTTTTGATGAAGGTCGAGGATCAGGTACTCTAACCTCAATGCTGGACAGAGGAACACGTTCATACCCAATACTATTATAATTTGGATCAATGACACAACATATTGCGAAAACACTTAATATTATGATTATATAACATAGGTATAAACTAAATGCCCAACAACTAATAGAACCAACACGACACGGGGGATTTTCTTCCGGTGTTGGATCCAAAATAGGACAAACAGATTGGCAATCCATGCAAGAACAACGATAATTAGTGTCAGTGTCATTGCAACGTATCGCCGGTTCATCAAAAGGGGTCATAACATTTGATGAATCATTAAGAGGAAAATTAATCTGAAAAGGTGAGCCGATCATTGGACGTTCCATACCCAAGTAAGTCAGAAAATCATAATAATTAGTTGCACCACCACCAATGAAATCCATAACATAACCATTTGTTGCGGCAAATTTAATATCTTTACAAGAATCGAAGAAACCTTTTCCATAATTTTCACCCACAAAGAAATCTACACTCGTTACTATTTCATTATTAGTAGTAGGCGATTCACCAATTGAAGTCACATTAACAAAAGTAGATTGATTTGGAGAACATGTAAAAGTGCAGAAAAAACCGAGAAAGTTCTTCCAACATGCGGGACAAGCACTAATTAAAGTTTCAGCTTGTTTTGTACTTTCTTTAAGATCATCCAATTGAGCTGAATCACAACATGTTAAAGAGTTTTCAAATTTTGATCCACAAATTTCAATGAGTTTTAATCTCAAAGCTTCATCCGGCTTGAATAATGAAAAAAAAAAAAAAAGTGAGTATAGAATGATCACAATCAAGGAAGGTAAATCTTTATAACTTTTTAAATTGTCACACAAATCATCTTATACATAAAAGTAGCTTACGAAATAACTTTAGAATTTCGATAAGCCACTTTGCCCCTTGCATTCAGATAGTAACACAAAATACATAGAATCATTTACCTCTTCAGCTGGTTTATTGTAGGGGCAATTTAATTGTTTTCCGAAAACTTGCTTTGAGCCACACTGACCACGCATAACACAATATCCATCTTGGTGAATATCGGATGCTAAACTGGATACAACTAACAAGATTAAGAGTGTAACGGATACAAAAATATGGTTCTTCATATGACCAATTTTTCGAAAAAGAAAGCAAAAAAGTTACGTTCAAAAAAAAAAAAAAAAACAGGTACAGTACTACAATTACTTAACTTGAACAAAACAAGTATGAGATTTTGAGAACAAAGAAATAGTATAAATATATATTTAATATTATAATAATAACAATAACAATAATAATAATAATAATAAAATAAAAAAATCTTTCGTATAAGAATGAATCATGAAAAGTCGAAAGATCAACGAAAATCGTTTAGGCCCAATGCTGATCCGGTACCGAGCACACATTTATACGTATCTTTAACAAAAATGTAACATTGAAGTGATCTACATCACATCCTCACGGGACTGTTACACATAAATCTGCATATATTTTACAGTTTTTAATTTTCGTTATGTCATGCGATAGAGATGAAGTAAAATGTCGAATTGCAGCGAACCCAGCAAATGGTGACTAAATATGAATATTTTAAACAAAAAGTAACGAGAAAAAAAAAATTCTCCAAGGTGAACAAGATAGTTATCAAAGTGATTAAACAGTACTAATTGTACGTACTCACATTCTAAATCAAAAAAAGTTGGTTCGAATCTTTTTTATGGGGTTACAAATTAGTAAACTAGTACGTAACGTTAAGTAAAAGAATCTTTTTTTGTATAATACATACATTTTAAGAAATGATGCAAAAATTATTTAGTAAACAATGCATTCATTGTAAATACGTAATCATCCCCAAAATTATCGTATTTATTATCACAATTATTAATTAAATCTGTTTAGTGTTACAATAAAAAAATTCTTTGTATGTACGTATTTTTTTTTATATAAGTTATCTGATATGAGGTTACGTACGTACGTGAATTATTTATCGGTTTCTAATAAGTATTGCAAAAGATACAATATACTTTGAGATATTGAATAACAATTATACAATATATGAATATTGAATAACCTTTGTTTAGTTTAATCCAATAATTGAACTAGGAAGAAGATATTGGATATACTCGGATTAGATAATCTTGTTAAATTATGCCAATAGTGTTTGATATACAATGCTTTCTATTTGAGAACAATAAACAAAATTTAATTTTTCACCAGGAATAGTTACAGTATAAGAAAATATTAATGTTTTTTAAAACTAGTTGTTAATACTTAATATATATTTTAAAATATTTAGTACGTATTTCAAATCACACCGAGAAAAGTTGAACAACCTTATTTAAATAATTAATTTACTCAAAAATTTTTTAAAAAAATTCTGCATTTAACGAGAACCTGCATTTATTAGAGAATATACTATAACTTTATGTAGCTTGGAACTAGAAAAAACCTGCATTTTAAAAAAATTTTATAAATTTCAAAGTTTAAGCAACACCAAGCATCTACTCGTGACTCACGCAGAAATCATTACTTATTTGAGTTTTATTCAAGCAATTCGAGTCCCGGCAATTAATTCATTGATAAGTTTTGTAAATTGCGAGTTACAATAAACAAATAACTTCAAGTAGCAAGTTACACAAAGCAAATATAATTCAATTTACGTGTTATACGTAAAAGCAAGTACGTATCTGGTATTACAAGTTACACTTTCCTTTCGAAAATAGTTCCAGACGAACTTTTGAGTAGATCTACTCTCTTCATTAAAGATTCCTCCTGTTCATTATCGCACCATGTTTGTATGAACGAAATTGTTTGAAGTTTTTTAAATCAGTAAATTTCTTTATTTTTATAACAGATAATAATTTGCAATTGTAATAAATTACGTAGTTTATTTAAATTTTATTATTATAATTACATATACTGTATTGCAGTACTGTAATTACATTAAAGTTATACCATTATTTATGCATCATCACAAAAATTTATTATACTTTAATAATTAACTCACGAGTAATGATATAAACTTATAATTCTGTAATTTCGAATTATTCCAAGTCACGATATGAAAAGTTACATCAGCTGAATAGCATTCAAAGACAAAATCGCGTATAAGTTTTTAGCCAATCAAATGAATTTCCACTATGACACGTAATATTTACGTAATATTTAAGGATTAATTTTCTTTTGATAATCTTTAAAGATGTATTCGCGTTTCAAAAATAATATTTTGTGTGCTTATTATCCAAATATCGCCACTTTATATGAATTTCTTACTGCACATTGTGGCAATCAAATCGAATTGATTCAGGAGGAGGATCAAGACGACTATATAAATTTACTAAAAACCTCACTCATAAATGATACCGAACGGTCCTTTTCGCGTTACTGTTACCAGTTGGGACGGGATACGAATGACAATTTTGAAGAGGTAAGCTTTATTTATTAAATTTAGAAGTACAATTACTGTAGTTTTGTTGAAAAATTATTCTGAAAATTCTCTGGTAGGTGCTTAATGAGGTTATTAAGGTTCTTGTTAAGGAATCGGAACGAGAAAAGCCACCCAACATTTTATCACTTGGCTTTAATGAGGTGAAAACCTTTAGATATATTACATATGAAATATATTTAAATTTTAATTTTCTATAATGGTTGAATGCAAATTGTGTTTAGATACGATATAGACCCGGAGAGTTACAGACGGAATACGAAAATACATGCTTACATTATATCAGACGTTTACCAGCAATGAAATTGCTTTACTCTAGGTAAATAATCTATAATTGTAATGGAAAATAATGATTTCTATAAAGTATACAAGGTAAAATAGTGTGATATGGTGTAGGCTTGGTAAAACCGCAATGCGTTATTTATTGAAGAGTACGTCGATATTTCTCTCTTTTCCAAATAATTCTTATCTTCAAGTAACCGGTAAGAAGGAGAACTTTATAATTGTAACAAATTATTTACTTCTAAATTTATTCATTTCTTAAAATAGGTATTGCAATTAGTGAATTGCCTAATCCGAAAGATCATACTCATTGGACTTCATCTCAAGAAGCTCCTGAAAAAATTTCTTCTCATAAAATCCTTGAAAGGACATCATCAGTAGTAACCCTTATAGAAGAAGCCATGCAAGGAACTTTTGAAAGAACATTATCAGAAGAAACTCTTATAGAAGAAGGCATACAAGGAACTTTTGAAAGGACATTATCAAATGAAACTCTTGTAGAGGAGCTGAATGGCGAGAATTATCAATCAGAAGTAGTGGTAAGTTATATGAATTAGTTTATAGCGATGGTTATCTAAAAGATATTTAATAAATAATGTTCTATGGTTATATACCATTTATTGGATCAATAATATCAATTCCGAATAGTCAAAAAAAAGGACATTAGATGATTCCGATTCACAATCTGAAAAAAATTTTAAAGCCACCAAATACAATAATAATGATAGTATTAGAACTTTCCAGAAATCAAATATGATTCATACTGATTTTTCAGAAGTAAATTCAACAGGAGGTAAAAGAAAACCTTCAGATCTTATATTTAACAGGCCCAAGATGTTTTTCTGCTCCACAACTTGCAATTTTGATGGTTCTGTCTGGATCGGACTACCTAAACATCGTAAGTAATTAAAAAAAACCCCGTGCATAACTTTACCTAATATTTTATTGATTATATAAATATTAATATCTTTACAGATATTTTAAATACTACAAAGGTCTCGACAGACGACGTTATTCGACACATTTTTCCAAAGCAATTTGGACTTTGTAACGTGTTTGATATTAATAATAATGAGCAACCAAGCGAACAATCGTTATTCAGCCTGTATCAAAATCGTACTGAGGTTTAAAAAATAATCTATCGCTATATATTGACTAGATATTAAACATGGAGACTGATGGTGCGATTTATTCGATTCATTCCCAGAACTCTAATGCTGATATACCACATCGCTTGGTTCAAGTATTACCTATGATAAACAAAATGATTTCACGTCATAAAAAACTTCGATATATAATTTTACCTATGCTCAATCGTTATTGTCCTGTGAAGGTGGGAAAACGTCTCAAATACAAAAATAATCAAACGAATAGATACAAACAATTTATAATGTTTTTATTCTAACAGACACAAGGCGAGTTATCCGCTTCTTCTGCAGACAAACAGACGCAAGACAAGTTATCCTCTTCTACAGACGATGACTCTTCCATTCAGAATTTAAATTTTCATTCGAATATATTTCAGGTATTTATTCGTCATGATAGATTATTCTTTAATTCTTGAGATCGGTTATTTTTATTTTCTAGAAGCTTAAATATTTGTTTATATCTCAATAAACGTAGGTTACCACATTTGTTCGTGCAGTGTTGAATAATGTAATTCCAGAGGAGTTTTGGGGTTGTGATGATAATAAACGAATAATATTAAAAGGTAATATATATGGAATAATTGAAATATTTATCTTTGTAATTAATTTTTTTTTTTTTTTAATAGCTATAGAAAACTTCATCGCGCTCAGACGTTATGAAGTTTTCTCTCTGCATGATGTTTTAAAGAAATTCAAAGTATTTAAATTTTGTTTATTTATTTCATCGTATACATAGCTTGCTAGTCTTAAACATTATTTATTAATAATTTAATTATAAGACTAAACCGTGTAAATGGCTTGTGGTGGAGGGCAATAAAAATAACAAGATTGAAGCTGATAAGCGTACTGAATTATTATATGAATTTATCTGGTGGATATTTGATTGCTTTGTTATTCCGTTGCTTAAAGTAAGAAAATTTTGAATTCTTGATACTTTTCGGATTCAAAATTTTCGTTAATAATTTTATTTTGTATATTTGTATTACTGTCAGACTACTTTTTATATAACCACAAATTCAACATACAAGCATCGTTTATTTTACTATCGCCACGATGTCTGGTTACGAATTGCCAAATGTGGCGAAGAATCTTTGTCTTTGAAAGGTATCTATAAAGAAATTTCTCCGGTATGTAAATTCATAATTGAAAAGACACATATTTAATGCCATGCATATTAGTAAATAGTTACTATTTTTTATTTGCAGGAGGTTGAGAAAGAATTCTTAGACAAGAGTATTTTGGGATATTCGACCGTTCGATTTCTTCCAAAAGATTCGAATGGAACAGTTCGGCCTATTATCAATCTAAGTAGAGCGCAGAAGGTTAATATTTAAAATATATATTCTCATTTACTTGGCTAGTTTGATTATAATTTAATTGCTATATTACCTTAACTTGTAAATGCATATATTATTGGAATAGATGTCGGAGGAAGATGGACAGGCGCAATCTGTGAACACAATTCTACGAGATGCGTTTCAAGTTCTAACATTCGAAAAGGTAGTAATGTTAGTTTTAATGATATCTTTCTATAACTTTATTTACTAAATATTCAATTTCAGGATAAGCAGTTATTGGACAAAGAGTCTTCTATCTTAAGTGGTTCAGTGTTCGGTTTTGATGAGATTTATGAACGTTTGAAAGATTTTAAACGAAAGCTTGCTGAAAATGGATATACCGGTATACGGTATGATAATAAATGATTCTGGTTCTGAGGTCATTAATTATAATTACTAACAATTTAATTTTGTAGACCAAGGTTATACTTTGCGAAAGTTGATGTCCAAGGTTGTTTTGAATCAATTAATCAAGATCAAGTCTTGGAAATAGTTAAAGATATAATAGAAGAAGTAATTTATCGGTCATTTTTTATTTATGTATTATCGGAGAAAAAATAAATGATAACGTCCCTTTGTTTTAGGATGCTAAGTATGCAATTCATAAATATGATGTGGTTTACCGAAAAGCTGGTGCAGTACGCGCATTTCATGACCATTATATCGACTCGGGAGGTACTAGATCAACTAGTTTTGTAATCATTATATTGTCATTGTGTTTATGCCTGTGTTGTTTATATTAAATAATATTGCAGATGATGCTCCTGATTTTCCAAACTTTGCAAGAGAATCTGCGCTAAAGTTCCAAAGTTCAGTTTTTGTTGATCGCGTTAAAGAATCATATATAGATGGGGAATATATAATTAAACTTTTGGAAAGCCATATAAAGTATAATTTGGTAAAAGTAGGTGTCCAAACCTTTTTTATTTTATTGTAATTTTCGGTTGCTTAATATAATAATATGTTATGTTTATTTATAGATTGGGAATTTATTTTATTGTAATTTTCGGTTGCTTAATATAATAATATGTTATGTTTATTTATAGATTGGGAATAAGTCTTATAGACAACAAGAAGGCATTCCACAAGGATCAATCGTATCATCATTGCTTTGTAGGTTTGTATTGTCACATTTAACATCCTTTTTTTTTTTTTTTCTTGTTACATATACTGGTACCTTATAGCCATTCTAATCAATTTTAGTTTTTACTTTGGTGCGATGGAACGGGATGTGTTTCCTTTTGTAAAGCACGATGATGGCGTAAGTAAATATATCGATTTTAAAGGGTATAATGTTCCTATTAATTAAAAATTAAATTCGCAGGTCATGCTACGTTTTCTTGACGATTTTTTGTACATAAGTACAGACAAAAATAAGGTCGAGAGGTTTTTAATTGCAATGCATGAAGGTAAAAATTACGATATATCTTGAATGAGATTTTGTAATTTTATTAATCATTTTATTGTAGAGCATCCGAAATATAAATGTATTGTCAAATCTGATAAGAGCTTAACAAACTTTGATGCTATTATCAATGGGAAGCCGATAAAAAAATTAAGTAATACGTTTGGTAAATAATTCAAATATTTTGTGGTTCTAGTAATTGTAACAAATTCTTAACTCACATAAAAACGGATTTTAGATTTTCCATGGTGCGGAATTCTAATTGATACATTCACATTGAATTGCAAAGTTGATTATATGCGATATAGCACTGCACGTAAGTACTTCCTATTTCATTATTCGACATTATGTTATGCATATCATTCATAAAGTATTTTGATAAAATCACGTAGATATTTCGGACTCTTTAACAATCAAGACAAGGAATTCTAAAGAAACGTTAAAACAAAAGATGAATGAGTATGTTATACTGTATATTACCTAATTTATTATGTTTAAGCCGTTTATCTAAATTATATTTTCAAATCAGCATTGTCACAAAGAAGTGTCATCCAATATTCAATGATACATCGTTCAACACCAAAGCAATTGTATATCTTAATATTTACCAAAATTTTCTGTTGACGGCTATGAAATTTCATAATATTATCAGAGGCCTAAATCAGCAAAGTTGCAGAAATGAGAATTTTCAAATTGGTACTGATTATCGTTGTTTATAAGTTGTCTGCTTATAGCATTTATAATTAAAAAAATATAATTTTTTGCAGACGTAGTTAACAGCACCATTGATTGTGCATATCGAGTGATGATTAGTAAGTTTCAAATGACTAGTAAACCTAGTTTTTCGTATCCCGAAGTATCCTGGCATGTATAGACTTTTTTTTTTTTTTCCTAATCTTTTTGTTAAGTGTTATTCTTATATTCTTTATTTTGTATAGGTTAGGTATGCATGCGTTTCATCGTATACTTACTCGAAAGCAGACGTCTTATAAGCAACTTTTAGAATATCTAAAATCGAAAATCCACAATTCACCGATTAAACGAGTTAAGCTATTGCAAAGTACCATTGATCGGAACAATTCAAAAATATTTGAAAATTTACGTTACTAAATAGCAATTTAAGAATTTTCAAATACTGTAATTTGTAGTTTTCTATACTTTTATTAAAGTTATTTAAAACTGCTTAGCATTTATAAAATTTTAGAATGTAAGGCATCAAATTATACATATCATAGTATCGAATTTTGAAAAATATTATAGTAATGTTTGAATTCTCAGTCAAAATCAATAGCCTGTCAAATATGATCTACCAAGTCGTTTCCGTTATACAAATCTAATACCTCTCATTACTTATTTCAGTTTTGAGAGGTTTAATAGTATTTTTCGTACCCCAGAATTTTCTTTATTCAGAGTCAGATAGGATTTGGGATCTTATGGTTAGATTTAGATGGTTTAATTTTGGTCAAAATTGAAATTTCCAATTCAGATAAACAAACACATATAGGTACTGTATAAAGATAATAGTTTCACCAGCATTAGCAGATTTCAAATTCAATCTTTTTATTCATTACATAAAAGAGAAAAGAGTACTAATGTCTAATTTTAATTTCTATCTTCATCTTCCTAATTTAAATATATTTTTATAATGATATCGATATTATTTCTGTCCCATCTTACTATATATGTTGTATGTATGTCAAATTAGAATATTGCTAGATTTAAATTCCACTCTTCGATTCATTGCATTGATCTTTGATCGTAATAAGAAAACTACCCTAAATTAAAAAAAATATTGTGTTTAAATATACCTTTTTTCTACCAAATTCGTGTTTCAATCAAATTCATATAATTTGATCTATCATCGATATCTTATGATGTATTGATTAAATTTTGATGATTTTGGTACTATTTGAATCGTTTCAATGAGACGATTCTAATGGTATCAAAATTAACAAATTTTGATCATAAGATCATAAGATATCGATGATGGATCAAATTATACGAATTTGATTGAGACACGAATTTGGTAGAAAAAAGGCATACATTGTTATTCTCCCAACTAAAATTGTCAGACGAACCATTTTTCATATCAAGAATCGATTGATATCTAAAATTTTTAACTTATCTCGAATAAAACTAATTATTATAAAAAAAAAAAAAAAAAGGCACAGTAATAAGTATTGGCGAAATTAATATATTAGTTACGCGAATTAACTACTTTCAAGGATGTACTTTGCCGAAAGCTCTTGTTCAGGCGCGTCTAGTAACCCAGTTTTTGCGCCACAAACTTCAGACTTGAAAAGAATGCGCTGAAAGTAGACAAAACAATTGCTCATGTTCAAAAGTGTAGTATTTATAATGAGAAGCTTGTTTCTTATGTTCTTTTAGGGGAAAATTATAAAATTGTAATTTCGTTAAAAAAAATAAGGGATAATAAATGCATTATTCTGATACTTCAGGCTGGGGCAGTCTGCACATCATTGGGTGCTTTTTCAGCACATGAGGAACTAGGCGAGCATGGCGCCAGCTGGATTCGAACCTGCAGCAAGCTCGGAAGCATTTGGCTACGGACCCGTGTTCTAACCATTTATCCACACCAGAACAATACCCTAATTTTTGAAAATGTAATCATTATAACCATGTATAGGGTATACGTAGCACTGGGATTACAATTACAAAAAATCAGTGTTCGCTTTTTTTGTCACGTGATTGACGATCATAATCTTCGTTAAAATAAAAGTTTTAAAATTTTAAAGCATGATATCCCAACAACCACCTGAACAAATTCGATAAAATTTTTTTTATTTGAATTCTACAGATTAATATGATCTGAATAAAAAAGTTTAATTGAATTTAGTCAGGTGATTGCCGAGATATCTTTCTCAAAGTTTGAGAAAAATTTGGCGCAACTGTAATTTTAATAGGTAAATTGATCAAGTGAGTGTAGAGTTAAAGAAAATCAAAACGCCCATCAAAATAGAAGCTACGCCAAATTTTTCAAAATTTGAGTGAAAATATCTCGACAACCGAATGATCAATTTCAATGAAAATTTTCAAATAAAAAAAAGTTCATTAAATTTAGTAGGGTAGCTGTCAAGTTAGCGTCACTCAAAGGTTTAAAAAATCAAAACGTATATCAAAATTAAGAATTGTTGAATTTTTTCTCAAACTTTGAGTGAAATTATCTCCATAAGCATTTAACCAAATTCGGAGCAACTTTTTTTATTTAAATTCTATGGGCATTTATATTTCAAATAAAAAAATTTCATCGAATTTAATCAACTGATTGTCGAGATACTTCGCTCAAAGTTTTGAAAAAATCAAACTAAACAAAATTTAAAAGTTACGACACATTTTCTCAAACTTTGAGTAAAGATATTTCGACAACCACCCGACCAAATTCAATGAAACTTTTTTTTCCTGGATCGTATTAATCCTTAGAATTCAAATAAGGAAGCTTGTCGAATTTGTTTAGGTGGTTATTGAGATATCTTGATTTGAAATTTTATTTTTAGTGAAAATTACGATCGTGGTCAAAAACTGAGCATAATCTAGGGTTCCGTTGTTTGATCAAACCCAAAATCAAAAAAAACTTAAGTATAAATTTTAACTAGCATATAACTAGTGCGATATGTGGCGCGAATGCGCCACACATCTTATTTAGTATTTCTTTTAATTATGAATTACAAGTAACTCTCGATATAAGAAAGATTTTTGCAAGTCTCAATTAAAGATTCTATAATAAAAAGCTCTCGATATAAGAAAATCTCGATATAAGAAAGATTTTGACTGGACCCGGCAACTTTCTTATATCAAGATTCACTTGTATACTGTATTACTGCTTAAAATTCTTTTACATAATTTATTATCTATTGTGATATACATGAATAATTTACATTGAAATTATCATGATTCTACTATACTAATGTGGTATATACAGTTGTTGAGTCACAATTTTTACTATAACTTGATATAAAAAATTATTATAGAACTTACTTGCTATTCGGAGACTACAATGTGTAAATAGGATTAAGTTTATTTGCATTAGAAATTATTTCTATTTTGATTCAGAATTTACTCGCTAATACAGTAATACACAGTGGTTAAATTCAAGTTAGCATTAAAATTATTGTAAATATCTCTGTTACAGAACTTAACCATTATTCCAGTCATCGTTAAGGTTGAGTTGGTTTTATTAGAATTATCATGATTTACTATATAGAATTCTATTGCTGAAATATTTTCTATGCGGTGTATACAGTGGCTAAAGTTGAGTTAGTGCCAGAATTGTCATGATTTCTACTTTTAAACGAAAAGAATTAGATTTCATACTCTTACTGATAATTTATTGAATGATTAAATAGGCTAGGTGCTGCGAAAAGGAACAAAATTGACAAAAACAAAGATCTTCAAAAAATCAATTTTTATGTTGTAAATCTTATCCCTTAAGCTGTAGAGTTCGTGTAACAATTTTAGCTTAAAAATAGCATAAATTTAGTTATGATTTACTTTTTTAAATATTTAAAATATTTAAATAAAATTTCATATAATAATATTTGAAAATAAGGATTATCTTTTTATAGTATTTATATT